CGTCTTCCGCGCCGGGCGCCCCGTGCCGCTCCGGCGGCGCGAACGGCCGCGGTAGCTTCAGCGCGGGCTGCGGGAAGGGGATTAGCCCCGAGGGGCCCCCGCAGAGTGAGGAACTTAAAAGGGCTGGTGCGCTTGCTGCTCTTTACCTTTTAGGAGTTTTTTTTGTAGTTAAAAGATCATAAAAAAAATGAAGTAGCATCCACTATCTTCTACTCCAGTTGTAGATTTTAGTTTTTGAGGGTTTTTTTGCAAAAGACAGGTTTAAAGTTGTTGTTAAATTGAGTTCCACAACCTGACTTTCATTGCAGCAGTGTGGAAAACGTTTCATTTCAATACTACTTAGCACTCGGGGAACCCGCTGCCCGGTGAACACTTGTCTGCGTTTCCTTTTGTCGTTTCACACCGTACGCAGGAATTAATCTCACTTACGATGTTGTAAGACAGACTGCAGAGCTTGAGTTTGTCGTACGCTTCAAACAGTTACCTCACGATGTTGTAAGACAGACTGCAGAGCCTGAGTTTGTCGTACGCTTCAAACAGTTACCGTCAACAGCCTCGTCTCTGTCTCGCAGCTCCACGTTGACAGGAAAACGGGCCGCGCGCTGTGGTTAAAACAGCTAAATTTCAGTCCGGAACAGCAATCTTTCCAAACTATTCCTTCTACGGTGACCCAGGAGGTCAGATACAGATTTGATTCGTTTTGTTAACAGGCATTAACGTGACAGCTTCCCATCTGGAGAGGCAGGTGAATGGGGGATGAGGGAAGGAGTATGCCCGCTTTGAAAAACAGCGCTTTGTACGGCAAAAGCCAGTGATCAGGCAGCGACCCAAGGCAGAAGAAAAGGAAACGGGAAGTGAAGCGACTCCTACACACAACAGATAAGGAAAGCTCTCACTAACTACTCGTTCCATGCTGTGAACAAGCCAAACCCTGTGCTTTGAAAATAGAGGGCATACTGAAGTCAAACAGCTTAAACGGTACCCCTCCCTCTGATCCAGTTTGACTTAACACCTTGGGTTTGTTGTTACAGCGCAGCTGCATTTAAGAACAAGACATCACGCCCAGACAGCGCAACGGTTTTACCAGTAGCTTTCATCACAGCTTGAGGACAAACTCTCTTTTCATAGCAAACAACTTTTGAGGTTATTTGCAACCGAGAAAAGTTATGGGGGGATAACAGATGTTTTGCCAGAAAATTGTATGAGCCACCAACTGAAGACAGCCTGTACTTTTATTCCCCATCATTCCTGAAAAAAAGTTTCTTAGTGTATAGTAATCTTATGTTGGCACTAAAATAATTTAACCCGGATGATTTACCAATGAATTTACCAAAAGCCTACTTTACCAGCAACCAACGTACTCTCAGCAGGCAAAGGGGAATACATGTTCACACAGTCAAATAAGCCGAGAGAAGCCATGTAGTTACTACTCAACAAAATTGCCCCTGCTTGTCTTGCCCACAGGAGCATAAGGAGGGAATAAATACGAGTGGTGACAATACGGCTTTTTAAAAGCCTCCTTCACTCTGCTTCTGGGAGGCAAGTTTCAGAGGCATTTATCATTAAAGGTAAATTTTTGTTTGTTTATAATCAGGTTTTGTAAGGTATCTCAAGAATTTGAAAGTATTACGAGAGCCACATCTCCAGCTGCATCAGGCAGAGTACATTGTTTATGTGAAGGCTGACTACTAGTTATTTGCAGAGCTAAGGAAGGCTTTACTAGCTAGAACATTGCAAAAGAGCACACTGCACCAACATCAGCTAGAGCTGCCACGGAGATTACAACAGATCTTGCAGTACACGTGCGTCAATACCTCCACTTCTCTTCTGCTTGTTAAACACACAGCATCATCCCCTCCCACCGGTGCTTTTTACAAAGTCGTTATATTGCTAACGAGTGAACAGGTTTGAACTGAACACAGCTAGTCTGGACTGTGATTCTGCCGAAAAGAACAGCCTCAGTGTAAGCCCTGCCACTCCAGACTTCCCACTGTAGCAGAGCAAAGACTCGTCTAAGCGTGCCACTTCTGTCACAGTAAGTGCCTAGTTTCATTGGTTTCATCTTGGCAGTACAGAGGGAAAAATGAAAAACTCTAAGTGTAATGCAGTTCTATCAAGGTTAAGTTTGTGCACTCTCTTTGAAACATTTTGAAGGGGGTTTGTTGCAAATTTACTGGATTAAGTGATGTCACATAAAAAGACGAGTCAAAACCAAACGTACATTTCTGACCTTTATAGTAAAGTAGCGTAGGATCAACAGCTCTAACTGTCTGACACCATGACTTTCACCATCCCTTCCATAACAGTCTTTCCACTTCCTTTGACTTTACATGATACCGAAATGTGCGCAATAGAACCCTTCAGTCGTTTAACTTCTGCTGCAGCTATGACTTCTTCACCAGTGTACAAAGGAGCTGGAAATCGGATCTCCTGAGAAAGAAATACACAACCTTGACCGGGCATTTTAGTACCCAGAACTGCAGAAGTAAGTCCATTGATCAAAACTCCATGTACAATAGTTCTCCCAAACCTGGATTTCTTTGCAAAATCTTCATTTAAATGCAAAGGATTTGTGTCACCTGTTAAATCAGAAAAAGTAACAACATCATTCTGTGTAAAAGCTTTGGTAAGTTCGGCTTTGTCTCCAACTTTTATGTGTAAACTCTGAAGGAAGGGACGTCCAAGCAGGGAGTTGATAACTGTTAGCTTTGTCAAGGCTCTTGGTCGGAAATCCCCTCCAGAAATTCCACGCCTGAAGAGCTGCAACATCTCAAGCAACTTCTGCTTCGTACAACCAAACCAACAACTGCATTCAGTCCAAGACTAGTTCTCTACTGTTGCCAGATAACGCAAGAAGAAATGGAGATGTCTAGTTTGGGGGGAAGAAAAAACAAAAAACAAAGCAAGAAACAAACCAAAGCATTAAGAAAAAAAAAAATCACCATCGAAGGCACTTAAAGTTGAAAATACTTAAATTTCCCTTTTACATAAAAGATTAAAAACTTTGAGCTATGCCCAAGCAGATTTTTGTTTAGCCATGGCTTCGGAGACAAAGAATTCTTGGAACTCATTGTATTAAGCAGCATCCTCTGGAAAAAAATTAAGCTCTGGAAGTGCATGTTTATGTGAGCATTTTTAAACGAGGTCAGTCGACAGTGACTATTAGAAAGGGAAGAAATGGGGTAGGGGAAATAAAAGATTGGACCAAGGTGTGGGCCAAGAACAAAACCTTCCAGAAATTATTTTCTTGCAGATGTATTAATGAGATCAGGACTTCTCACTGGAATGAAACCATAAAGTAATGAGACAGCCACTACTGGCACATTTTACAAGATTCATTTAAGATGAGAATTGCTTAAACACAGGCCTACACACCTGCACTGAAAAGCATTTCACTCCCAAACCAAGACGTTTTCGCATCTAGGCCATCTTTCAATGAAGAGGCAGTGTGCTCAGCTAGCCAGACAACCTTAGAGCGAGAACTGACATTTGGGGGAAGCCATCCAGCCCCACAGGGCTTTACCTGCAGCACTCGAAAGGCACACCTCCTGTTCTGGTAGAAGCCCAGCAGTGTTAGAGCACTCCACAGCTTGACGAGGCCACTAAGTAAAAAGAAAATGAAATATATTAATAACATTTGTTTTTCTCAGTTTTCCTGTGGCATAAACATCTTAAACAAAAATATGTCACATGAAGAGCAACGAAACCTTAACTGAGTTTAACAGCAGGTAATTTTATCAGTGAGTTCTAGTAGCAACGCTATGATGCCCTGAAGGGTTGCTGCAATGACTGCAGCCTCTTGTCCTTGACGTATAGGGATACGTACTGTAACCTTTTCAAGTTCACTCTGCCGGCCCTGTTCTTGTTCTCTCTGTGCGTTTAAGCTCCTTCTTCCCCTAAATCACCTGCAGCTGTCTTCACCATTTAAATCCGGTAACCATTCTCATCTTTACTACAGAAAGAGATTTAACGCCACACATTTCAATGGTGCTTAGTTCCTGTGAGACCATTCTGTTTTGGAGCAAGAATAATGTACTAATGCATATAGGTTACTGAATCTTAGTGAATTTTTATTTATTTTCTGCATGCTGTATGCAGATGTCTGCAAGATAGGCTTAACTCTTCAAAGACCATTCTTAGCTTAAGAGTTCTGTTTTCTTATGAAAAATACGTTCATGGCAGTATCTGAAGTGTGTACCTACTGTGCCTTACCTGCTAACAACTCTTAATATGGCAGACAGAGTTTTTTCCTCATACGTTAAGACATCAACAGGCAAAGCTGCTCCAACCTATGAAAAAGTGTTATCTAGTAAGTACCATCCTATGCTCTTATAGTGGTTTATAAGCAAGTGAATTCACTGCCAGCACGTGACATCGTTAAAGGTGTTATAGTTACGCTCAAATCTCACATGAGTGTTTCAGCTACACCACCACTAGATTCTATACAGCACCCTTCCTCTCAGAGCTCTTTAGACAGAAGCCACTTTTAGTTCCACATTACAGCTGGAGAAACAGGGACCCGGCGGTGACATGACCTGCTTAAAGTCACCCAGCAGTACCGTAAACGCAGCAGGAACAGTACCGTGGACTTCCCCAGCCAAGAAGCTGTTCCCTTCCCATAGTTCTCCTTTTAAAACCTCACGACAGTGAAAGCATCGATGCCTCAAGTTCTAAAAGCCAGATACGCTGCAGCCGCCTGACTACGGGCGCTAAGACAAAACGTACAACCCCAGCTTCATCAGGAGCGAGTTACGACATGGGCTGGAGAGCGGGCAGCAGGCTAACGGAGAGGCGAACCGAAGACGCTGATCCTGCCCCCGCACGCCCAGGACTCCAGCCCGCCGTCAGCTCGACCCCTCTCCCCCCGCGCTCACCCTTCTCCCACCAGACGGGCCGG